TTCGTGCATCTCCTCAATTTCTTTGCAACCTTAGACCACTGAACTTCTCCATTTTCTTTTCGACTTCACTTTCCACTTTCCTTTCTTCTCCTATTCTTCATCCAAATGGGCAGCCAAAAGACAGCAACCAAAAACAGGCGCACGAAAGTGCGTGGTTAATGGTTGTTCAAACAAACTGAAACCTAAAGATCGAAGAAACAAATTGATACTCAAATAAGAGCAATTCCCATAAAAGTAGAAATGATCTATGACAGGGGAAGCATTGTTTGAACGGGATACAATCAAATCTGCTCCTAAACGCAAAACAAAAGGCATACCTGCAATCGGTGGAGAACTTCAACCAATCGATGAGCTCGGCTGGCTGGAAGAGCGCAACGCTTCTCCAAAATCACCTCCAACTCATCTCGAGGCAACGGATCGAAATGCAATTCGACAAAGCGATTGCGTAACGCGCGAGAAAGAAGCTGCGTAGGGCAATGAGAGTAGATGTGAGATTTCAGTTTGAATGGAGACACCGGTGGAAGTGTACGAACAAATGGATTAAAGCACAAGAAGCACACTTACTTTACGCCCAGCATAGAGACCTGGCGGGTTTTGTGTGGCGAACAGCCGGAAGTGTGGATGCGCTTTGATAGTTTCTTGCGTCTCCGGGATGAAAAGTGTGCGATTGTCGTCCAAAACCTGTGGATGGGAACGGTAAAAATGAGCGTGATGAACCTGACGAAAAGTCCCAAAATTGGGTTGAAGTTCATCCAGCAGCCTCCCTCCGAAAATACAGTCCACACTTTTACTTGTACATTAGAAAAGGAATTTAGCGATTTTCACAAAAACCTAAAGACAGCAGTGTAAATGTAGATCCGGAGCAGTGTAGTAGGAATGGGACTGGAAAATAAAATGCAGAAGTGATGTTGCTGAAGTCGGTTGCACACGAGAGGAGATACGCAACTGCTCAGATATTTCGATCTGCTTCCAAACAAGGGAAGAAAAACATCAGTTTGAAATCAACTACGTTTTCCACGAAACGTTCTGAATAGCCATTTTATAGGAAAATATTACGAATGAATGATAGTTCAGCATTTATGGTGTCATTGCTGCATATTTGCACCGCCCTGTTTACCAAACACTGAATAAGATTTCTTATTCGTTGGAGTGGCACAACGCTTCTGAAATGATGATACTGGCCGCGCCAAGTCCGTTTCCTATAAATCGGTTCTATTCAGAGTTCGATTTATAGGAAACCGACTTGGAGCGACCAGCATCTCCATTTCAGAAGCGTTGTGCAACTCCAACGAATAAGAAATCTTGCTCAGTGTTTGGTAAACAGGGCGGTGAAAATATGCACCGATGACACCATAAATGTGGAACTATCATTCATTTTCCTACGAAATGGTTATCCAGAACGTTTTGTGGATAACGTTTTAAGAAATAACTGTCCGAGGGAAGGATTTTTAAATACAGAGATGAATCTAGTAAACATCTCTCTCCTATTTAAAGGCGATCATCATCATCATCGCACAGCAAAATACAGTGAAGCGAATTTCACTGATCGCTGCCAAACTCGCAATGCATACAAGGTTAGTGGTAAAATTTAAGGCTGACAGGGATTGGATCTATTTTGGGGGAGGGAGAAGAAGGTGAACTACTATGGTCAACAAACAGAGTGAGCCATCTAACTCTGCATACATACCGTTTCAAGCATTCTGACCTGATAAGCAACAACAAGAATGCCACTGCTGTCGGTTCGCTGCAAACATCCTTTGATGTCTCCAACCAACCAGTTGTGGAGTCTTTCGGACCCCAGCCTGGCAGACGAGAGCTACCTACTCTACCTAATGGCTCTGTGCATTTCTTCATGCCTCGTCTCCAGGTCATCTGTTGACCTCCGTATGGTTTCCTCCAGCCCGGATTAACTACAGCGAATAAAGCGCGGTACGGTGCGAAACCTACTACTCTGAACTCAGTGTGCTAGCAGGTTTATACCTGGTAAACTCACAAACACACGACGGCTTACCTCCACGTTACTAACCGGTTCGCTCCTTCCAACCTGCACTAAACTGCGGAGAACAGAGCTGTATGTTACCGAGCGCGTTCCCAGGTTGCGGATAGGGGAACGGCCGTCATCTCGCGGCTAACCGTGAATATGGTGGGCTTCAGCTCTACGGATAGGCGATCGTGGAAGAGCAGCTGCAGTGCTCGAGGATGTGGTGGGTTCAAATCCTGGCAAGGGTTCTCCGCAGAAAACACCACAAATGTCTGTGGACAGCGCTATGACGTGGCGAGTATGGCCCGCCACCAAATATGGCCACAGCCCCTTGTCGAGTTCCCTTGCCCGACAAGGTTTTCCAGAAGAGGCGAATGAACTGAAAACTGGCCACCGGCTCACCTGGAACATCGCTGCTGCCTTGCAGTCAGCGCTTGATTGCGCGAAGGCTAGAGTGCATCCTCAAACAAGGCATAATCTGGACTGGGCGACCAAGCAGTACAATAGCCCACAACTATGAACGTTCTCGTTCAACAAGTTCTGTTCTGGAACATTGAACAAGTCCCCTCCTCGTGGGGGAATCGATTGTTGTCTCCATCTTCAAAACGGCCCGCGCAATGACTGCGCCAATCATAGGGACATAAGCCTAATCCCGATAGCGTTAAAGCTCTTGGCGTCCGTCATTCTCTGCCGATTGTACACTACGTATGAGGACCAGGCTGGGTTTCGTGCCGGTCGTGGATGCATCGATCAAATTTTCACCCTCCGACAGCTGCTAGAGCACCGTCATGCCTACAAAAGACCAACGATCATTGTATTCGTAGACATTCGTGCGGCCTTGGACTCTATCAATAGGACCGCACTATGGAGCTGTTTGTTGAGGAATGGAGTACCTGAGAAGTATGTGTTGATCCTCCAAGAGTTGCATCGTCATACCTCAAGTCGGGTTAGGGCCTATGGCACACTTTCGCCACCCTTCGTCGTCTTCAGTGGAGTTCGGCAAGGCTGCCCTATATCTCCAATTATTTTCAAATTCGCCATAGAGGAGGTTCTACAGAATCCTTTGTCCGGTCTGGCAAACGGTGGAGTCAAACTCCTCTCAGGGAACAGATTTCTTGACTTGGAATATGCCGATGACATCGCCTTGCTTGGTGACAACACACAGACAGTCCAAAATACTTTGAACCGCTTGACGATAGAAATATCCAGGTATGGTATGTGCTTTGCATCATAAAGTGCAAACTGCTGGCTCACGACTGGTAGGAACCTGTGCCTGCACTTACCCTCTTTGATGATCAGCAGGAAGTAGTTGAGAGCTTTAAGTAACTCGGGAGCTTGATCGAGCTGGTGGGGGTGTTGGAGAGATCACATCATGAATAACGAAAGCTAGAGCAGCTTTCGCCAACCTGTGACACCTTTGGCGCCGCCATGACATCCTACGTTCCCTTAAAGGAAGGGTGTACAACCCGTATTCAACTGTTTCACCCTGTTTCCACGTTGCTCTGCACCCCAATCCACTTATCCCCTATTATTGTTATTGTTGATATTGTTGTGGCGCTGGCACCATGCTTGTTCACAAACCGGTGAGATATATATATACCAAACGTGGGCTAAACTGCGTAAACACCGATAATCGAAACCTTCTAGTCGACGGATATCTATTCGCAAATTCAAGTTCTCACAACCATAAAGCAGAACTGAACGAACGGTAGCACAACATACACCACCTTTTAATTTGAGTACGCTGCTCGAGCCTTGGAAATGCGGGCGGTTATCTCTTTTGCTGCGTTACCGTCATTGTTCACGCAACTTCAAAGGAGATACAATCGTAGAGTTGGCTAGCCGCAAACTAAGTACCGCGGTGCAGACTACTTTTCATGCGGAAAAATCACGTGTCGTATTCACGTCCAGACCGATCTTGTGTTCGGAACTCAAAGACGGGGTTCCTGTTTCTTCAGTCTCATTTTGTGTGCACCCGTTTACGTGTTCCTGTGGAGCAACGTATATCGGCCGCACGAGCAGGCGCCTATATACACGAGTTCGGGAACATCATCCGGCCTGGTTGGGGTTAAAATTATTACAAGTGCCATCAGTTCACACCTCGTCGAGTCCTATCACAGTGAGTGTGACTGAAACATTTCAGGCCTCTCTCCCGTGTTCGTGGTAGCAAATCAAAGCCGATGATAAACCGTATCCTAGCCACCGTAGAGGCAGTTGAAATTCGTCAACATAATCTCCCCTTGTGCGCCAAAAAACCATTAGTGAAGTCACTAAACCTACCATGACCCTCTACCTCCCATCCTCCTTCTCCTGAACCTCTCCCTCCCAATCTCACCCCGAATCACACAAGTAATACGGACCGATGATAGGACAAGCCATATCCGGTTTTGTGAAACTGAGACAGAAAATAACAAAAACAAGGATCACCATTTGAATAATCATTACTTTTTCCTGTTTCCATACAAAATGATACTCTATAAAATGTGACTTATTAGCCAGTTGACGAGTCACCGAAAATAATCTTGTTCGCTAAACTGCGTTTTCCTTCAGCATAAAACTGCAAACAACCATTTAAGGATACTGTGTTTTTTAAAAGATGAATGATTGTCAAATAAACAAACTTGTATTACTTTTCCGTTGAATAAATGTCTCACTTTTCTCGTCTTTACCCATGGAATGGGTGTTCGGAAGGCAAGTGCATTCAATTCGCTTTATACTACTTACGAGCAGCGTGTATATATTATCACACTGTGCTGAAGTGGATGCACTTCACTTAGGCTTCGGATGCACAAAAGCATTGTAAGAAATATCGCAACAC